TTATTAAATTTTATAATTTTTTAAATCTTAAAAAAAGTGACTGGATAGTGATTTTACTACTACAATTTTTTTCTTACTTTTTTTAAAACTGTTTATTATTTTCTGAATTTTCAAATTTTGAATGTTTGACTTGTTAGCAGTGAATCAAATTTCAATTGTCGTGAAACATATCATAATAATAGATACTAGCGGGAATCTGTTGAAATCAATGGTTTCATGCATTTATTTACTAACACACACTTTTTTTTTATAAATTCTAAAACATTAAAATAGTTTAGTTCAAAAATAGTGATTCTTAATTTTATTATTTAAATAGATAGTGCAAGTGTTTAAATTTATTAATGTTAAAAAATAATGCAAAAAGTCTTTTAATTAATGTGTAATTATGAAAAATACCAGGAATTTGGGATAGGGTTGTTCTAATGGTTAAAAAAAAATTTCTAGATGAAGTCCAAGTGCCAGACATGTTTGTACCAATAGACTTAACATTGTATGTTTGCTACTCCACCACACTTGAACCATTGCACCTTTCTCAAATTTTTTTTCATTGGCATCATCTACATGGTGAGAGCTTTAATTTGATACCTGAACCTTGCTTGTACTCTCAAACGAAGCTGTACAGTATTTGAGACTTACCAAATTAATAAATAGATTATTTATATTCTCATATTAACAAATATTTTGGATGTTTCTATAAAGAGAAGTTTTTTATATTTTTATTGCTTTTAATAATAATCTTAATTATATGGTATATCGATAAAAAAAAATAATGAAAAACTTGACACTACAAAAAAAAATGTCAAAATATTTTATATTCATAATATTAGCTATGAATATTATTAATTAATATAAAATTATTTTGTTAATTTCCAGCTTAAACTGAAATATTTATATTAACATATTAAAAGTTACAATCAAATGTAACTATCTAAATGCTATATTTTTTAATCTTCATAATTTTATAAGTCAAACATAAATCAAAGACGTAAGAAAATTTACAAAGTCAAGACATTATTTATTCATTCAGTTAAATAGTTGTTGATATTTTTGATCAAGATCAACAAAAAAAAAACTCAGATGATACTTTGTAAAAAGAAAATGCCCTGGTTTAACTAAAATTATTATTAATGCATAATACAGTACTTTTAATTGTGATTGTTAATTATCCATTGCTTCAATAAACGTTTTTTTTTTAATAACTAAAAGAATAGTATAGTTTTGCTAACTTTTGGAACCTAACCCCAATGACAATAACAACATTTGATTAATAACAAAATAAAAATGTTATTAATCAAAAATGTGTTCTAGAGGGTTGCATTTGTTTGGTAGGGTACCAAGAGAGAGTTTTTTTTTTCAGAATTTGTGTTTGAATACTGAGATACTATTGTATTTGGTTCATCATATTTATGAATGATTTCTTATCTGTAGTTAAAAATGTTTAAATAAATTTTACTAAATATGAAGATTAATGTGTAAAAACAAAACAGTGACAGACAGTCTTAAGGATTAATTAAAGTCTGAAAGTGCAAATTTTTTCTTCCTTGTCCTAGCTATCAGTTTTCATTAAAGTAAACCTGACAAAAGTACGAAGCAAATTGAAAATTCCAATATTCTAAAATCCGTGAGCAACTTTGAGACAATGCGCATGCTTACATGAATAAAAAATATTGAATAACAGAACACTTAAAAATTGTGAAATTTTGTATGGAGGATTTCCAAAACCCATGTTAGAGTGAAACTGGAAACAGTGTTGTATGAGAGATATCCCCAATTTTTGAACCATGTTAGTGCAAAACTGTATTCAATTTGAACTTGTAGAAGTGCCATGTTGTACAGGGGATATCTCTATTTTATTCATGATGATGGTAATAAAATACCTCTAAAAAGGTATTTTATATAAAGGTAAGTAAACAGATTTTGTTTTATTTTCATTTAACAAATTACAATCATTAAATTCAATTTATGGAGAATTTACTTATTGTGAAAAAATTTCTCATATTTTTTATAAACTGTTTAGGAAAACATTTTTTTCTTTTTTTTCTAAATTATTTACAAATTTCAAGCGTTTAAATGCTTGAATTTGTAAATAGATTCTTTTTAAAATCTGTTTATGAAATATAGTATAAACATTGATAAATAAATGGAAAATTCTTTTTGATAATTTATGAATTTACCATTAGATTTACAAATTACAGTAATGAGTATATTTAATAATTATTATTAAATATGCTTGTTAATTTATTTGTTAGACCAAATGGTTAATTACTGGTATTGAATCATTCTAATTTTAAAATGAATTCTACATTATGTTCATAAATTGAATATCAAAAGATTCTGAATCTGATAAATCATTCTACTGTATTTTGCAACAGTTAAAGTATATACGGCACGTTTAGACTAGATTAGATCAGTTGCTAATGATCTCACATAAGAAGCAAGGCTGTGTGTATATTGAGTCACGGTTGCTAAAATTAATATCGTCCTCATTTTCGTTCCTGATGATGGTGATTATCAGAATTAGATAATCAAAATTTAATTCTTATATTTTACTACACGTTACATAATAAATATATCTGATAACTACTGTGTAATTTTTAAATTTCGAATAAAATGTACAATATTTTAATAAAATACAGAGACTGATAGTTATCTAATTTAGCAACTAATTTTAATACATAATCAATTTGAAGTTTTTAAATATATTTTTTCCGTAATTCCAAATAAATAATTATCATTTTCTCTCAAATTTAATTAAATATTTTTATTTTAAATCATTTTATATATTTGGAGTATTTGAATTAAAATTTTTATCACTCGTCATCGTAAATGGTGCAAGATCAGTGAAATGTCAGAATGCGTTTTAATAGTTTGAATCGTATAATAAGTAGCTAAATTCAGAGAGTATTTTCTACCCATGAACATATTAAGGTTTTTTTTTTTACAAACGATAATTTTAAAAGTAAAACTGTGTTTTGAATATAAGTTACTTTATATATCGGAATATAAAGATTACAGTTAACAAAGAGAGTCATATTAATAATGTCCAGTAGTCAAAATAATTTTGATTACCGTTGCATTTGTTGTTTTTATGTAAGAAATAATATATTGTAATAGTGCTGATGGGCTATATTTATCACATTATCATTTTGTATATTGCACGTTGTTATTACTGTTTTTTGTGATAAAAATAAAACAATTTTTCCTTTAGTTAACAGTTCCAGCTTCCCGCGAGGTCTCCAGCGATGAAACGGAATACAGTAGGCCCTCGATTTAACGGACCAATTGGGCGAAGGAATCTCCACTATTGAACATTAAATCGATTGTCTTAAAAACATATTAACGAACAGAATATATTAAAATGTTATTGTAATGTATAACTATGAATAAAATATGTAAATTGAGTAATTTACACTCATTAATTCGTTGACCAAACTTTTAGCGTGCTCGCTATTCGCGAAAAAAGTTTTTTTCCCCTTTTACGACAGAACTTTATCTGTTAAATCAGGGTCCGATAAATCGTCGGTCTGCTGTATTTTTTTTAATTATTATATAAATTTATTTATAAAATCGATAAATTATAAGTCATTTTGACTATATTACGCAATATATCAGTATACTTCAATCATAATCTGTCAATTTAGTTTGAGATGCAAATTAGAAAAGTCGATGAGAAAATCCAATTCCAAGAAAAATTAATTTCTTGGAATTTTTATCAAATCTTTTAACATAATTCCATTAATTTATCGTCAAAATTAACATATTCCGTATGTTTTAAAGTAAAGACTATGTTAATTTTGACAATTAGTTAATAGATTTCGTTTTGAGATGGAGAATATGTTAATTAGTAATTATTGTTTTGATTTGTTGTTGTTGAATAGAGAAACGATTAACACTTACTAATAACTATTTTTAATTGCTAAATTTTTTTAGAATTAGTTTCTTTTGAGTCATAATTTTCATAGTGATCAATCCTAGGGATAAATTGTTTTTGATTCTTAGACTTAGTACACTATAAAATCGAAATGTTCGTAGGAAGTTAATTTATAATACAGTTTTATCGATTAGTCTTAAAATCTACGAATTCGTGTTTTAAAGAAGCAAATTTAGTTGTTTTGTAATTCAAATAGTTTCCTCTTACTAATACGTCGTGTGCTAATTTTTTTAAACCCATCTAAAACTACAAATGGCTCTTGAAAGCGAGAGACATTTATTAAGCATTAAATCAAGAAGTTGCCGACCTTGTATAAATCATAACTAGTTAGTTTATTTCAAATGTAATCGGAAATTCAAATCACGAAATAGCGCACAATATTAATTCGTATGACGTGGCTTCGGTATTCATGCATTGCTTTGACCTGACTGCTATGACTCACGTCTTGGGAGTAAATAGTGCATTGAAACTTTTTCGGATTTTTTTTTTCCGCAAGGAGGTTTTTCACAAGCTGAAACTCGAATTATTTTACCTAGTTTTATTCTACTCACCTCTCGGAGATGTATTGCTGAAGAATAACTATATATATTACTTCACCATTAGTTAGTTCAGTAACTAATAAAGCACAGGTGAGACACATCAGATAATTATCATACTTCCACCTACGTAAGGAATTCTATTGTCGGAATTTTTGAGCTGTATTAAATTCGTTTCGATGTTAATGTATTGACAGTGGTATATATTTTATTTTATCCGTTTAAGCGTTCGAATTTAAGTGATAGTTTTTTTTTTCTTTTAAAAATTTGCGTAATAAAATTTTACAACTGAACCACTCGTTTGGGATCCTTTCGGGTGACAGCATCCGGTATCTTATTACGTCTCATAGAGGAGAGAATGAGAGGAAATTTCTTAAGTTTGAAATATGTAGTCGATCGGTTCGCTCGTTAAAGCTTTAAAGAACAAAGAAAATTTTAAAATTCGAATATGATATGAGCTGCTGCTCAGGTAAAAATTAAATTTTTTATATCGCCTTTCTCTAGTGATATTGACGCTCATATTTACGTTGGTTCTTAAGATGTATTTCCAGAAATTCCTGTTATTGATTATTATATAATCAGATTTCAGCAAGAAAGCATTGTCTTTGTTACCCTGACCTTCCTAGATCGATAGTATTTCACGATTTCCCATCTATTATCGATCGTTGTCAGCATCATTCGCATGCGCATTCCATTTGTCACCTTTTCGTTAAAGCCGTGAGCGCAATCATTTCTATACAACTTTGTTATTCCTGGATTCCTTACATCTTAATACTTTATCCATCGTATTTAGTTAGTAAACGGTGCGATAGTCGAACAAAGTCGCCTGTCAACTTAATGCAGGCTCCGTCTAGACTTGCTGCAATGCGGTGTGGTGTGTCATCCCTCCACCCTTATGTGAGGAGAGTTGCTTTACTTTCGATGTGAAAGTGTTTCGTCAATCGTTTTATTTGTATTTTGTCATAATTACTTGTAAAAGAAACATTTAAATAAAGAATCCAGTTCCTATGAGGATGTCTGAAGCTATTAAATCCTATAGATTGTAAGTTTAGTTTTTCATCTGTATGGTTAATTTTCAGTATTGGATTAATAAAATGTAATTCCTATATATTTTTAAATTTAAATATTTTATTAATATATTCCTTGATTACATTAAACCATGCTTTTATTGTTGATAAACATGCTTAATTCATAAATTGCTACTGCTTTTTTAAAAACCAGTTAAAATAAGTTTGCTAATAATATAATTTTTTGTATTGCTTTATTTATTCTTTTGTGTATTCAGATATTTAGATGTTAAAATAGCTATGATCATAATTTTTATTATATCATAAAATAGCTTTTTTCTCGTGATTAACTTTCATGATTTGTATTTGAATAAATATTAATTATGATTGGGTAACAAAAAACTGAATTGTACAAATGCTATAGATCAAATATAATAATAAATTAAATTAAAAAAAATAAACATTTTTTAAATATTTCATTTGCATAGTTTGATATTTGCTAAATTCTTGGCATATTGAAGATTTATTACTATAAGAGGATTTAATCTATATTTCTTAATATTTAAAAGGGAAAAAGTCAGATACAACCTCTCTTTAAACTAAAAAATTAATCTGACAAATCAACAATGTTTAACAAAATATTTTGTTAATGATTATGATGATAAAAAAATTCATAATATTCATGGTGTATTTAGCAACTGTTTTGCAACCACTAGTCTAAACTCTGAATTATTCAGTTCTGTAAAAGATGAAAGGTTTGAAAACATATCTTTTAATAAGGATTTGTTTGGTCTCCTAAAATATCTGTTGTAATAAAGATATTAATATTTCTAATAAATTTTGTTAATACTTTGTATATCATTGCCTTTATTGTATGTCAATATCAAGTATTGATATACTTTGTATAGAGTTATAATAAATTCAAGAATCATTCTATTGAATAACTGAAAGATTCATTAATTTTTAATTCAAAATTTCTAAATTTTATTAAAATTCTAAATAATAGTATATTTTTCTGTATTCCTCAAGCATGACTACTTTCTTGATATTCATAAGTCTTTAAATGCACTTTGTCATTCATTGTAATTGCTTATTATGTCCATCCAAAGTTAATTTCAAAACACAATAATTACTGTAATCTTTTCAGTAAGAGATATAGGGCTACTACTACTACTAATGAAATTATCAAATGACTTTCAGAATGGTTATATCACAACAGTAGATGTAAAATTTCTATTAGAAATAAACAAACTTCCCAGAAACCACTATTAATAATGTCAAAGATTTAGGTTACTTAAATTTGTTATTATAGTTTAATTATATATTTTGATGTAATTAAATTTTTTAAATATTTCAAATAACCTTATAACAAACTTTTCAAGCATTTATTTTAGAAATTTAATTACAATGGAATATATAATTCAGATACGATTAAAAAAAATCTCAAATTTTATATTTTTTTTAATAAGAAATTGTCATAACTCATTTTCTTTTTCTCCAGAACATCAAATTACTAGCTTAGCCTTTGAGTGAAAATAATTTTCAATAGAAATAAATATTTAGTAATTAAAACGAAAAAAAATTAAATTATTAAAATTTAATATTTGCTTAAGTTTCATAAATACAGTAATATAATTTTTATTTTAATTCATAATTAATAGAAAAACAAGTATTTAATTAGGAAAAACAGATGAATAATTTAGCATTATGATAAAAAATATAATGTATAGTATTTAAATTTTTTTTGTCTTTATCTTAGTGGTTCTTAGAGGTGTGATACAGCACGCCTCTAAAGAACTACTGCTTTAAAGTTACAGTATATCTACATCTATATAACAACATTGCAAACAATGTATTGTTACCACTTGATAAACCAGTTTGGATGGAGTGAAAGACTGCGGCATGTCATCTGACATCACTTAATTAAAGGTTTGTGTAACTGTTCACTACTGATTCATTGCATATCAGTTTTTCAATGTAATATCAGAGGATGACACAGTATGAAGCACATCTCAGAGGAACATCGGCACGGACTCACTTTAAGCAGCTACAGTCAACTCTGATTACTAGACAAAATAGTTTAAGTGCAATGTGAATGGTAATGAAATATTGCAATGTATGCACAAAACAACATACATCAAAATGATTTTCTGTTTGCAAAATTGATAGACTGAGGTTCATAATAAGGTAACAAAACACTGTCTGCAACACTGTTATGTAGACATAGCTTAAGAAAACCTTCCAGGTGTACACTATCACATGAATTAAAATATTAAAACAGCAAATTTTAAAGTTTTGAAAATAAAATATTGTATTGTAGTTCTGTTTATTATGAACTATTACAGAAGTTTGTACAGCTCATATGCAGACAATGCAGTCTTATTTTATTCACAGGGCCCCTATAAATAACACTTGCATTGGAGCCTATGATCCCTTTAGCATGTTATGTGGTACAATCCTGTTCAGATATGTAGAATAGATTAATTTATTTAGTAGATGTAGGCTAGTTGGTTAAAAAATAGCAAATTGCATGCAAAGAGTGCTTTATGAATAACTTAGAAAGTAAAGCAAGAACATATAGTAGTCTTAAAAAAAAGAAAAAAGATCAGTGGATTCTCCACTGATCTTTTTTTCTTTTTTTTAAATAGTTTTCTTTTTTTTTAAATAGTTTTCCTTTTTCTTAAAAATAGTAGTCTTAAAAAAAAAGAAAAAAAGATCAGTGGATTCTCCACTGATCTTTTTTTCTTTTTTTTTTTTTTAAGACTACTATTTTTAAGAATCATATGCCTACATGACCAGAGGTTTGATTGTATTGTTATGCATATTTTGTCTTCATCTAAAAGTAACTGCATGATCACAGAGTTAGTTTCAGTTGAAGTGAAAATGTGTAACCAATCCTATTGTCTCACTGGTGTTGCACTAGCAATCTGGTCAATCAACTTTCAGTCAATAAAAATTGCTTATTTAATTAATAATAGTTCTCAATCTTTTGGCCTGAGAAAACACTACTGTTGTAAAGAATGCAATTTACTTCAAATTAAAAATTGTGTTTGTATTGCAGTGACAAGAAAGCAATACTTCAATAAATTTTTTCACTGAATAATTTATTTTTGTAATTGAAAATTAAGGCAGTACAAACAATGTTTGAGTCCTTTTTCCTCTTTAAATCTTTTTCGTTCCATCCAGGAACCACAAACAGCAGGCAACTTGAAGTAAAACTTCTAAAAATAACAGACAAACACTATCAAAAACTTCCATACATTAAAAATGATTTTGATGTCGACCCCTTTTTGTAGGCTATGACGTCTACAAACATTAAAAAATTGTTAAAAATTTTTCCCAACAGAATCCATGTTATATAATCGCGTTTATAAGCTGAGAGTCCTCTGGTGGATTTTGGGGCCGTTTAAAACTATTTACATAATTACACATAAGCCCGGGATTATTTTAAATAATCCTGGGCTTATGTATAATTAAATTATTTCAGAATATGAATGTTTCTAATTTTGAGAATAAATTTTTAAAATTTTGAAGTGATTCAGAGTGAATACTAGGCCTACAGTATATATTTATTGAGATTTTTAAATATTTGTTATGATCATTAATGCTGGTCTAATATCTTAAGTATTAGGCTTGGGAATCCAGTAGAACAATATTTTTAATTACGAAGAATTATTCACATGATTATACTCAATGTTAAGAAATAGTAAAGACTTGTACAGTAGATATAAAATCTATAGCGCACTGATTTCCAGAGATGCTACCTATTATATGATAAAACCATTGTGTAAGATTTTTACAAGAAGTAGTGAAGAAACAATGAATAAAAATTTAATGAAGAAAATAACTGAAAAATAGAAAGAGAAGGAAAAATTAGAAAAATTGTAGTTTTTAATTGTTCATTTCTTCCATGTGACTATAGATTTATTTAAAAACCAAAATTTATATATGACATACCAACTTTCATATCTTAAAAATGAATTACAAAATCTCAGAAATTGCAGTATTGATTTGATGTAAATTTTTATATCTTGTTTTGTTCAGATTAATTGTTAAGATTTTATTAATGATACTAAAACTAAAAAAAAATTTAAATACTTATTAAACTTTTAAAGTTTCTATTGTTAAATGGAATTCAAGATACAATTTCATTTCACATTAAGCATATAATTATGTTAATAATTTCATCTATACATGTTATGTAATTAGATTTAATTATTTAAGTTACAAAATAACAAACAAAGTTGTTCAAGCTAAATTTGTTTCAGCTTACATATAGGTGTTTTTCATGTTGTTACTATAGCAACCATTTTGTTTAAATTTGTTTTAAATCATTTTAGAACTAAAGAGTCAAATCAGTACTGGATGAAAAATGTTTGAGTAAATATATACTGTACTTTATATTTAAAAAGTATTATTGATGATTAATTATAAAAATTCTCATGACATAGACATGTCAGAGAAAGTATATCTAGCATTAAATTCATTTTATAAGTTAATTTCTATTGAATTTGAAAAAACCTAGGAAAAAAAACTAGCAGCCTTGGCTATTAAATGTTATCATCTGTTTAAAGATTAATATAGAACGCTTTGATTTGAGATGTGAGAAATTTCTAAAAGATTGTCTTTCTGTTAGTTTAAGCTCATCTACCCGGCAAAGAATCTGATGATTTGAGAGTGGATTTGTTGGTTGCTAGGAAAAATGATTCATTTCGTTAGAAAACAGATTGAACTGTAATCATTGTTGGAAGATAATAATTCAGTTTTGTATGCTTCCTTTTCAAGTTATGAGTCACAATCACAGTATAAAGTATGATAAATGCTTATTGGTTGGTTAAGATTATTTAAGCAAGGATTGAATAAAAACAATGTTGAAATAGGCCTGCTTACTTTTATATTGTTAGCTTCCTAATATAATCCAATTAACATGTTTTGCACTTTTTAAAGAATTATTTAGAATTTGTAGCAAATTAGTTTTTTCATAATCAAAAAATCTTACTGGAACTAAAACAAAATAATATAAATAAATAACGCC